TTCAGTATTGTAGTACATTATAAAACAGTATGCAATAATAACGTATTGAGTGTAAATTATAATTTTAATTTTAATTATTAAATGGATGCCACCTTATTGGTACAATAAAGCCCTCCCTACACCTACCCTAACCCTACCTGATACTTTATTTTCAACTTTTTGATTATTTCCTTAATTTTTATTGAAAATAAATGCCTTTACGATGTGATACGAGATTTGAAAAGGGAGTGAGAAAAAAAAGTTCGGCAAAAGGCGGGATCGAACCCGGGTCGATTGCGTCAAAAAGCCAAGGGCACACTTATCCATCTGCGCCACTGGAACTGACGATTTACAGCCACTTTTAACTAAATGTAAACATATACTCCGTAGTTTTAATTCCATAGTAAGGGCAATTCATACAATACATTTAAACTGAGCTACTTTAATACCATCTCTGAACTTTCTACCACGACTCTGCTGTTCTTCAGCTGGTTCTTCCTGTATACGTTGATTGACAGATGTCTCGTCCAGTCAGCGGTGAGTAATCCCAAACCAATGGCGCCGTCTCAAACTATACCTACCTTTGTCTGATTTGTCTGATTTGTCGTTGTGTTTTCTGATTTGTTAATTTGGTTTCGGCTTTGTCGTTGTGTTTTCTGACTTGTTATTTTGTTTTCGAATTTGTCATTGTGTTTTCTGACTTGTTATAATGTTTTCTGAATTGTTGTTGTGCTTTCTGATTTGTTATTTTGTTTTTTAGACTTGCATTTGCGTTTGTAATTTGTTATTTTGTTTTCAGAATTGTGATTTGCTCTGCACTTCTCGGCCACCGTATATTCATATGTTTAACGTGCTTCATATTTTATGGCGAATTCCTTGAGGCTGTACATACTTCGGTTTCGTGGGCCGCAGAGCGCCATCTGCTATCAGCGGCCATTTTTACACCGGAAATACGAAATGTTGCTACCCGGAAATACGCGGGCTTGTGGCGCGAAATCACAGGATCAACACTGGTGAGTTTATATACGCTTAATATAGCAGTTAACTTAATTTAACAGGTTATTTACTTACTAAGTATGCGAAGAGTTGTAGCAGTGTTCTGAACTCACTCAAAAACTGTTTTAAATAAATTATTTTGTGATTCAATCCAAGTCATGCTATCAGTGCATCCATAATATAACGTTACATCTGTATAAAGAAGAGTAAAATAACGCTTCTCTAAAGAGCCAGTGTGCTACAATAGAGAGTTAAATACAAACACAACATGAAATAAAACAAAGTAAATACCATAATAATAAGACAATAAAAATTGTGCAAATGTCATCCCGAGATATGCAGTGCAACGAGCTCATATTAATTTAGAAATTACATTAAATATTTCCAAAATTAACTTGTCATACTGCAGTACTATTTAAAATAAATTAATGAAGGCGTATTAAAATAGTGAAAACACAGCATAGTGACTTGTCAGTTATGTATCAGATCTGTTTATGTGGTCTGTACATATATATTTATCTATGATAATGTTTGCTGTATTTCTGTATTTGTCTAGTGCTGTCAAACGATTAATCGCGACTAATCGCATCCAAAATAAAAGTTTTTGTTTAAATAATATATATGTGTGTACTGTATATATTTATTATGTATATATGCATGTATATATTTAAGAAAAATGTTGTTTATATATTAAATATATTATTAATTATATGAATATAAATGTATGCATGTAAACACGTAAATATTTTCAAAATATATACTGTATGTGTGTGCATTTATATATACATAAGTATACACAGAACACACACATATATTATGTAAACAAACTTTTATTTTGGATGCGATTGAACGTGATTAATCGTTTGACAGCACTATATTTGTCTGACAGTTTTGTGTCATAGACTGGTGTATTTGCATGTGTTTATAATGCACGGCCAGTCAAACGTTTGTAAACATGTGCACATTATGATGGAGATGTTTTAATGTGTGTGCACTGCAGCCTGCAGGTGAAGATGAGCAAACCGAGGTCAGCGGCTCTCACTGAAGCCCAGCGCGTCTGTCTGATGTTTTATGATTTCACATTGTCCTCGTTATTCTGCTTCTCCTGTACAGATGTGTGTTGTTGATGTGTTCAGGCTCAGAAGCTCCTGCGGGAGAGACTGTGTCATCAGAAGCTGCCGGATCGGCCCGTGGGTCTGGACTCACAGTACAAGTGTGTCCCGTTTACACTATCTGCTCCTGTCTGCTCTAAGAGTGTGTGTGGATTCATACACTCTCTGTGTGTGTGTGTTTGTGTGTGGATTCTTACACTCTCTCTCTCTGTGTGTGTTTGTGTGTGTGTGTGTGGTGTGTGTGTTCAGGCGTTTGAGCATTTGCTACAGCTGGAGCTGGTGCGTCCGGTGGACTCTGGTGTGTGTAAAGTTCAGCGTGAGTATCAGCTGATGCGGCTGATGCTGGAACACGGTCAGGTGATGGAGGCGCTGCAGAGGTACCCACAATGCCCCACAGACGTCAAACAGTGGGCCCTCTCGGCCTTCGGCTGAACACTGCGGCCTGCACATGCTGAAATATGTACAGTTTGTACATTTAAATTGTATATAGTTTTTTTCTTTTTTTGCAATAAAAATGTTACCAGAATTTCCAATTTGTAAAGTCAATTTTGGGTAGTTGACTTGACAATATTATGGAAGCCTGTTTCAGCCACGGGATAAAAGAATTAAAAAGGTAACTGCAACTTTTTTTGTCTCACAATTCTGACATTTTTTCTCAAAATTCTGAGTTTATATCTCGCAATTCTAAAAAAAAAAAAAAAGGTAGAATTGTGAGATGTCACAATTCTTTTTTTTTTATCCCGTGGCAGAAATTTGCTTCCATACAATGTGAACTTCAAAAACTATTTTAAACAATAATTTTCAAATACTTTTATTATACATATAATTTAATGACCTTGTATTTTTTTGTCATTAATATTACGTTTTGAGTAATTATTTTTATCAGACCTTTCCACCATTTTAGTCACGATGAAATCTGTATCACAAGTTGGTTTATATTGAGCAATGAGTAAACATTTTCATCCATCAATCTTGCATTTTTAGGTTATTTTAATGCCTTTTGAGTTACATAAATTGTATATTTGAATATATTTTTGAATATTTAAGTAACTGAGAAGGCATTAAACTAGTTTAACTATAACTATATATATATATACATTTTTTTTAATGTTTTTTAGGAAATGGCATACACAATTTTTGATGACAATTTGATGTGTGGAATAAACACAGGCCCGAGAATATGTATTAAAGTAAATAATAGTCAAAAATTATTTCATGTTGATTTAAAGTTGTTGTAAATAAGTTCATCAGCTCATCAGCATTCATTAACAAAAAAAAAGAAAAAAAAAAAGAGTATAAAGAAAATGTCTTAATATATTTCGTATTAAAAAGAGAATCACATGCATAATCAGTGAGTTTGGGCCTGCAGACATTAAGGCAATAAAAAGTTGTATAAAATACCCAGCAGTACAATCTTCTGGTATAATTTCTTTATAAACAACTGTTTTCGATTAGTGACACCAAAAAGAACAGAGCAACATCATGCTAGTCTAATAATTTAAAACCAACGATCATATTTACATTATTCGTTTGCTGTACATGTGTGTGTTCGGGGGAATTACAGATTGAGCTGAAATGTCTTTTACAAACTTATTTCTCACCCAACACTTGGTTTGTCTGCTAACACATTCAGGGCAATAATAACCGGCATTTGTTTTCACAGTACTGAGAGTTTGTCACATTATTAATGAAATAAATAGAAGCGGTTTAGACTCGGTATGCTACTGGTGCAATCGCTGCTGCATGTTGGTTGCATAATTGCTGTAAGAGTAGAAACCTGCGTCCCTGAATACTGCTGTAGTGCTTCAGAAAGAGATGAAGAGACAGAGATGAAGGAGAATGTGGCGTTAAGCCCTGAAAGATGCCGTTGTGTGAAAACACTGTCATTAAAAGGGCTTTTTCAGCGTTTATTTATCCCACGAGATCAACTCCTAATGTTAGATGAGGGATTTTTGCTCCTGCGAACAACGTCTTTCATGCAAAATGAGTGTTTGCTGTCAGTTCAATCTAGTTTTTAACTGCTCCATCCTTCAACAACAGCCTGTTTGTAAAGATGCATCAGATTGTGACTCATAAATCAATCGTAAATGGTTCAGATCAGACTGAAATGATCAGAGATTTTGTTTCTAACAGCACAAGCTTTCACACTCTCTGCTTTTATTATTTCTGCTGGTGTTCAGACTGTTTGATTTGGAAGCTTGTGTCAGACACAGGATAAAAATAAAGCTGATTGTGACTGATTTTATATCTCTCAAGTCTGACTTTTTTTCTCACAAGACTAAAGAAACTTGTAATTCTAATGAAAAAAGGTCAGAATTGTGAGATATAAACTCATAATTCATTTTTTTTCCCCCTTTCAAATCTGAGTTTATCTCTCACAATATCAGGCTTTTTTCAGAACTGCGAGATATAAACTTGTAATTGCAAATTATTCTGGAATTTATGGCTGAAACAAAAAACAGAATTGTGAGAAAAAAGCAAAAATTGTGAGCTATAAACTCAGAAATGCAAGGTTTAACTCGGAATTGCAAGAAAACCTCAGAATTCTCAGTTTATATCACGTCTGACTTTCTTCTCTGAATTGCAAATTAAAAAGTCTGAATTCTAATACATAAAAATAAATCCATATTGTGAGATAAAAAGTTGCAATTACCTTTTTAAAAATTTTCAAGCTTCTATAGTTTGACATCGAGACTCGGTGGCCCAAGTTTCTCAACACTAAATCTCTGTTAACATGTTAATGCACTGACGTTAATCTAGTTCACATCAGAAAGTTGATGTAGAGAACGAGTCGTTTTTGCAGTGTAGGGTCAAAATGACTTGCTGGATTATTCCTCATATAAAGCCACCAAAAGATAAATATGAACAAAAACCCAATGTCTCAGGTGCAGTTTGATGAATATGGAGGCTCATTTTGCATATAATGTGTCACTAGTTTGGAAAATTGTGTTGCAAGAATACAGTTGCATGAGTGGTAAACTGTCCGAATTGATCCAGCATTGGCAGACGCTAATATTGGACCCTGGTTTCTGTGATTTAGTGAAGCGAGCGTTGATTCCTCATGAAACGACCCCTTTAGAAAGGCTGCGATGAAATGAAGCAGAAATGCGAACGGCAGAAACGCTAGCGTGTGTTACAGCTACTCGTCTCGCCTCCGTAGCAGCTGTTCAGAAAAAAGCAAGAGAAATCAAAATGAGGTATACCTGTTTAGGGAGGTTTATGGTTATTTCAGCATAATTTCTCATAGATCCGTGTGTGATTCGGCAGACATTCAGAAGTGTCTCGTATTGGCATGACTGTTATGATTCGCAGAAACGAACAGCAAACGCAGTCCAGAGTTTCGCCCTTTTTATACTAAAATCGTACGAGCTGCTGTTCATATAAAACACAAAAGTCTTTCCTTAATGCATAAAAGAGGTTTTGGTGCGAACCGAGACGTCCGTGTGTGTTTGATCTCTTGAGTTCCTCCGTGTGTAAGTGCGAGTCGTTGAATTATTCCCCCGCTCGTTTTGCTCGAGTCATTCGTAGTCCGGTGTTCTCTCGCACACGCTGCGTTCTGATTGGCTGAGAGAACGGCATCATAGGCTGGATTCTTTAGGGGGGAAGTCCAGGTTGGTAACCATGGTGACGACGGAGAGCATGTCGTCGGGGGCGATGAGGTTGGTGTTGCGCTGCATTGAGATGATGCGCTCCTCCACGCATCCCGCAGACAGACGCGCCTCGGCCTCGTGGTCCCAGCACTCCTCTATGGTCTCAAAGAGCATCGCCAGACCCTACAGATATACAGATTAAAAAAAAAAAAAGTTTGAGAGCTGGCCATGTGGTGTGTGCCTCTTTTTCTGAAGCTACATCAACAAAACTTGAACATCATGCATCTTCAAGCATCTTGAGCTTTAAGTAAGAAAATCTGATCAACAGTACAAAGGGTCACATGACCAAATCACTAATTTGCTTAAAAATTAGTCATCTGGAAATATGGAATCTGAAATTTGGATGTATTCTTATATGTGACCCTGGACCACAAAACCAGTCTTAAGTGTAAATTTTTTGAAATGGAGATTTATGCATCATCTGAAAGCTGAATAAATAAGCTTTCCATTGATGTATGGTTTGTTAGGATAGGACAATATTTGACTGAGATACAACTATTTGAAAATCTGGAATCTGAGGGTGCAAAAAAATCTAAATATTGAGAAAATCATCTTTAAAGTTGTCCAAATGAAGTTCTTAGCAATGCATATTACTAATCAAAAATGAAGTTTTGCTATATTTACGGTAGGAAATTTACAAAATATCTTCATGGAACATGATCTTTACTTAATATCCTAATGATTTTTGACATAAAAGAAAAATCAATAATTTCGACCCATACGATGTATTGTTGGCTATTGCTACAAATATACCCCAGCGAATTAAGACTGCTTTTGTGCTCCAGGGTCACATTTATTCAAGATAACCTTGGCTTTATATTTCTCAAAATCCATGACTTTTTCTAACAAGCACTACTTTTTACGAACGTGTCGTTGTTACTGTTGAAAACTGTTATTTAAAATAAAGCTGAAATCAAATAGAAATATTAGGTTAAAAACTTTTTAATTTAGGTAACATTTTCAGTAAAGAATTTGTATGTAAAAAGTACTAAAATTACTAAAACTAATAAAAATAAAAGCTAAATAGAAATAAAAGACTACTATTTATAAACAAAATATTACTAACACTGATGTGTTACTTTTATATTTATTCAGAAATTTACTGACAAATACATTTGAAAAACTTTAGGTTTTATAGTCACTATGGTCAGACAGGTAATATTTGTATTAATCTGTATTACCTGACACAAAGCATCGATTAGATAATAAAAAGTGTCTCTATATGAAAGTTATTTCAGATGTGTCAGAACTTTTTACATCATGATGAAAGATTAAGACTTTAATTTTCTTTTCAATAAACATCACTGATGATGAACATGAATTGAAGAGTATATAGGGTTAAATGAGTTCATGTTCATTTAAAAATGTTAAAATGCAGAATGTTTGTGAAAATATAGAAAATATAATGTGGATTGTGTGTGTGTGTGTGTGCGTGTGTGTGTGTGAGTGTGTGCGAGTGTGTGTGTGTGTGCGTGTGTGTGTGTAGTACCGTATGTTTTAGCCAGTGCTCTCTGAATATCGGCCGTAGCTTCTTATGCACAACGACGTCCTGCATGTCCTCCAGAGACGGATGAAGACCTGCCTCCTCCTCAAACGGCAGACAGAACTCATCCACGGGCCCTGAGACACACACACACACACACACACACACGGATCAGTCCCGGTTTATCCCATGACTTCACCTGAGTGCGAGTGAATGGGTGTTTGTTACCGTCGGCCGCTGTGCAGCGAGAGGCCAGTTCCCACAGCACCAGACCCGCGGCGTACATGTCGATCCTCAGAAACGCGTCACGCTGGAAACTGATCGCTCCCTCCAGCACCTCCGGAGCCATGTAACGCCGCGTTCCCACCTTCACACAACCAATAAAACCTCAGCAATGAATAATTAGCACTTGAAATCGGTCACAGTTAAGCACTGGTCAGTGAAGTTTTGAGCACATGCAAAAATCATACCTGTCCGTGTGTGTCGCCTGTAGATTTCCCTGCTTCAAACTTCAGTGCCAGGCCAAAGTCAGCAATACATGCTGTTAAATCACGCTTCACTAACACATTCTTACTCTTGATATCTCTGAGAGAGAGAGAGAGAGAAAGAGAGAGAGGTTAAGTTACAAAGTAGGTTTCAAAGTAGGGACTGGGTTTGTGAAAAAGTTTAGAGAAAAATGGTGTAAAAATAAAGAATATATATAAAAAATAATACACCTAAAAGTACATTACTATAATGAGTAGAGAAAAAAACATTTATGATGATAATAATAATAAAAATGTAACTTAACTGAAACTAAATATTTTCCAAACCATATAAATTGAATCTTTATACAAGAAACTAAATTAAATTTTAGGATGAGGGGCCCTCACTACAAAAATAAATTAATAATAATAAAAATAATAAATGAATGAATCAAATTATTAATTATTAAATAAATATATTTTAGATTAAAATAAAAAATAAGTATATAAATAAATAAAAAACATTCAACATTCAAAAAAAGTATAAAAATCAATATGCTAGAAAAATACATCAATAAATAAACAAAGAAGTATATATACCCCAAAACAATCTAACAGTAAATTACTGTAACGAGTAGAAAAAAACTGAAACTAAATATTTTCCAAAGAAACTGTACACATTTTATTATGCAATTTTTATTATACATTGTTTTTAAGTATAAACTGGGTCTTTTTACAAGAAACTATATAGATGACTGTTAATTTTAGGATGGGGGTCCCTCACACAAGGAAATTTGGGGGTCCTTTGCATCTAAAAGACATTTTGTACCTGTGTTGTACGAGCATCAGATTTTATTTTCAATGGCATCTAACAGATTGAAAGTGTTTAGTACCGGTGTGCAACGGCAGGCTTGTGTCCGTCCTTCAGGTTGGGAATGTCCTCGTGTAAATACGCCAAACCGCGCACAAACGTCTGCGATATCAGACACAACTCATTCCACGACACCACATTCGCCTTCAGGAAATCTGTCAGCGAGCCCTGAGAACAAACACACATGCAGATGATATCAAACATGTGACACAGTGAGGTCATGTGACAATAATGTACCATAATACTGTTTATGAAGGTAGAATGACGTCAAAAAGATTTGCATACGCAGAGCAAATATGCTGATTCACCGATTTGCAAAGAAAACAGAAATCGCACAAAAACAGAAAGGAAAGTCGGGTAATAGAATAAGTCCAGCGCATTATTCTGAGTAGTAGTCAGTCGTGATGAGTCACACAGAAGCGGAGATCAGCGTCCCCAGCGCGGCTATTTACTTCATTTACTTTAAAATGTTGTTGTCTTAATGCTATTTCTGAAGGACATATTTTCACCAAAATGTTGAAATGAATATCTTAACCAGTGTTTAGTTGATGTTCGGGATTCATCACTTTCCCACAAAAAACACGACTATGTTTAAAATATGCAAGAGGCAAGTTCAATCAATACAGAACAAGTTTTTTCTACTTCTGTAATGCAGTTTTCTAGACTAGAAAATGCCATTTTCTGTCAAATTGTTATGAAAATATCTCTTATTTCACAATGAATTAAAAGTAGCTCTATGAGCCAGAGTAACCCAGGTTTATAAGAGCACAACCTTGGAATAAAAGAAATACCCAGCATAGCCCTCCATACTCCCCTGCAACAGCCCTCCTCTGTAGAGGTCTACACGGGTCCAAAAATTCGCACCTGAACCCGAAGAGACCCGTAAATGGGCTACACTGAACCGACCCCTAGAACGATTGCTCGTCCAGTGCCATGCTGACGTTAGCTTTACTTATTTGCTATCATCTCTGTGCTCTCTTGAGCCGAGTCTGAGCAAACATTTTAGATATAGCAACAAGATGGTTCATTCATAATATTATTACAAAAATAATCAATGATAACTCACATCACTCATGAAGGTATCCATTATCACCGTGCGTGTGCATTAACTCCGCCCACCCTGCTTCTGATCACGTCGCTCGTGTTTTTTTTTTCTTTTTTCACCTTATTTCAAATTACTGACTCACACTTTTCTCATCCTAATTTTACAAGTTGAAAGTTACAAAACAACACACGCACAGCGCTGACTGACTCTGATAACGGCCGGGTGTTCTCCGAGTCCGATCGACTCGGGTATTACACACAATGTTAAACAGACTCGGGACCCGAAGTAATAGATTGGGACCCGACCCGGACCCGGACCCGGCTGACCATTTCAAATATAGCCCCGAACCCGTACGGATCCCGGGTCAGGTCCCGGGTCCTCCTTGTAGACCTCTACTCCTCTGTGCCAAGTTTGTGGATGTGCATGACATACGCTTTCAATCTGACATCTTTTGTTTAGCGGTAAATCATTTAGTAATGAATTACTGGTCAGTTTAAGTGGAAGTCTCAAGGCCCCACTACATTATCACAAAGTGGTTAAGGGATGTTTGCAGTATTTTCTTTACGGGTTTATTAAAAAAGAAAACAGATCATCTGTAGAAAGTAAGGCAAGTAGTTAATTATATCTGCTGCTTTTAGTGAAAATTTATATTTAAAAAAACAATTCAATATGTGTGCTTTTTTTTTATATTTGAAATGCTTTCAAATGACAGAATATTTGGTATGGTAGCATTAAACAGTATAAAAGGACTAGACATATGATTATTATATATCATATTATATAATAACATGATGTTATTGTAAAAAAATACCGAAAAAATGCAGTACTTTTAACAGTAACTGGACACAGATATTATTACTTAACTGTAAGAATGTGTAAAGTCTATTAGTTAGTCGTTTGGTTTTGTTATTCCATACTGAGACTAGTAGGAGGAAACAAAATGGAAACATATTTTACTAAAGTTTGAACAGCCTCAAGTTGGCATTGTTCATTGCAAACCTAAACAACATTTTTGTCTTCTGTGAATTCTATTACAGTGGATGATGTGACGGATGGTCCTGAACAGAAGACAAAGGTAGGCAGCCACTAGTGATTCACAGGTCTGGATTTCTCCCAAGCCATTACAAAAGCCAGTCTGTGTGTGTCAGGCAACCACCTGAACCCTGCCAGACAAACACAGTTGACATTTCTGATTGGACTCTTAACGAGTTGTTTAGTGGAATAATGGGAATCTCCTGTGGCTCACCTCTGTGTCTGCTGTCAACAATAAGTCCTTATTTAAAGGTTCAGTTCTGAAGGTAGCATAAATGGCAAAAGAAAAGCTTCCAAAAAAACGTTAAAAGTTAGTTTTGTTGTCTTGTAGGTTCAGAGCCATCACTTGAGTCGCCTCCAGAATCTTAGAGCACATCACAATGCTTGTGAAGAACGATACATGAAGGCGTACACAAAAACTTTAAATGATGAACGGGAGAAGCCTTTACTTTTATATCAGAGCAGGAAAACAAAGGTTAGTTGTATTAAATCTTTTGTATGGCTTCATTTGCTAGGTCAGTCTTATGTTTGTTAAAAAGTCAATTTTGTGTTATTTGAGTTATTTTTGAGTTATCATAACATCAAACTTGTCGTTTTCAGTTAGCAGGTCTCTCTAGTCATCGGTTGGCCCACAAATTGTTACCGTGTTAGCTTACAGTAGAGGGCCTGTGTTAGATTCAGACATAGTAGGCACACTAGACGGTGAGCCACGGGACGCCCAAAATAAAGCTTTAATAGGCTGCCTGCTGATTTCTACTCTCTTACTTGTTCGGATTAAAAAAAAATGTTGGGGAGTTCTGGTAACCGTCTGTTTTCAAGAATGTTGATGAGATCTGTGTTGTACACTGCAAAAAATGCTTTTCTAGCTTAGATCTTTTGTCTTGTTTCCAGACAAAATATCTAAAAATTCTTAAATCAAGAAGGATTTTCTAGACAAGTAAAAATTATTGTCTTGTTTTCAGAAAAAACAAGTCGAATTCAAGTGAGTTTTTGCTTGAAACAAGCAAAATAATCTGCCAATGGGGTAAGAAAAATAATCTTGTTTCAAGCAAAAACTCACTTGAATTCGACTTTTTTTTTCTGAAAACAAGACAATAATTTGTACTTGTCTAGAAAATCCTTCTTGATTTAAGAATTTTTAGATATTTTGGCTGGAAACAATACAAAAGATCTAAGCTAGAAAAGCATTTTTTGCAGTATACAAGGAGAAAGCAGATAATTTTTTGGTTAACATTGTATGAACTGAATATGTCAGACAGTCCAGTTTTAAGTACAGCTAAAACAGCTTTCCATGATAAAATGAATTGCAGTTAAAAATGCGAATTTGAGTGTATTTTTCTATCTGAATTCAAAGGAAAGAACCTCGATGAGATCCAGATTGATCCACAAGGTGAAGCAGCCATGAGTAAATAACTAAGTAAACTCATTTACACATTTTCCTCCATAGTTTTTTCGGCAGATGATTGAAAAATCTCAAATGCCATGTTATGATCAGCAGGAACTCCACTGTTGGTTATAGACATCTGTTGAATGTAGCTGTTTAAAAAATCTTGAGTTTGCTACCTAGTTATTTAGTTTGTGTGATTGCTGTGTTTTCCAGAGAGAGTACTGATGGACAGTGATGGATCAGACTCTGAGAACGAGAAAGAAATGAGTGAAGATGATGCTTCACCTTCACCTTCAGATTCAGCAGGTGTGTAGTCTGTGTCGTGTCTTCTTTGCTTAGCAGGCAATAATGACCAGTGACCACTTGAATTAAAAACAAAAGAGCTGTTTACTGTAGTTTTGTGCAGTGTTATACAAGAAGGAATTCACTTGTGCAGTGCACACATGCATTGAGTCGTTCACTATTCTCATCCTTCCAGCATGCTCTCAGTCTAGCAGAGCATTATGGGCAACATATTCTGAAAGTGTACAGGACAATAAATGATTATTTAAACTGTTACTGCTGACATTATTGGAAAACAATTAAACATTATATTAAACATTCTCACTATTACTAATCTAATTTAATTCACAACAGTCTGAAAAGGAACGATGGGAAAGCTAGAAAAGGCTAAATATTACTAGAAGAAAAAAATTGAGTGTGCTTGCTTATATTTAGTTCTTCACCTTCACCTTCACCTTCAGCAGGTGTGTAGTCTGTGTCGTGTCTTCTTTGCTTAGCAGGCAATAATGACCAGTGACCACTTGAATTAAAAACAAAAGAGCTGTTTACTGTAGTTTTGTGCAGTGTTATACAAGAAGGAATTCACTTGTGCAGTGCACACATGCATTGAGTCGTTCACTATTCTCATCCTTCCAGCATGCTCTCAGTCTAGCAGAGCATTATGGGCAACATATTCTGAAAGTGTACAGGACAATAAATGATTATTTAAACTGTTACTGCTGACATTATTGGAAAACAATTAAACATTATATTAAACATTCTCACTATTACTAATCTAATTTAATTCACACCAGTCTGAAAGGGAACGATGGGAAAGCTAGAAAAGGCTAAATATTACTAGAAGAAAAAAATTGAGTGTGCTTGCTGATATTTAGGAGTTGTTATTGAATAATCTTTTATGTGTCCAGACAAATCAAAGAAGTCCACTGCTGGAGTTGGACGACACAAAAATCAACAAGCAGCCAAAGGTAATAAGATTTAAACTAAAAAGGATTAAGAAAACGTCTGATATTGTTGTACTTGTGAAGAGTGCATTCTGTGCAGTGCTTTTATGATTTGCATGCCTTTCACTTGCTTTTATTCTTTTTATATCCTATACATGCTATACTATATTTTTTAGGGCTGTGAATCTTTGGGTAGACAGTGTATTTTTTCCCCAAATTCCTTCTTTTTTTTTTTCAAAATGCAGTTTTGTTTTTTTTGTTTTTTTTAAATGCTCATGAAGTGACTCTCAGAGCAGTTCTAGAGATTATGTTTATGTGTTCATGTGCTCATATATTGAGGCAGCAGAGGCAGAAATGCTGTTAGCGTCAGCTGCGCTTCAGTATGTGTGTAGTAAACCAAACCACGCGTCTGCACTATTCATTCACACACAGACAAGCAGAACATTTAGGATTCATATTTAAATAGTATTTTTGCGGCTTAAGATTCACAGACACTAGACCATATCGCATTTTGATTTAACTGTACTGACCTACTTTTTGATCCATCCAAACGTTGGCAAATTCCGCATCTCATCTTCTCATCTCATCTTCCTCCGCTCAGATTCCACATTATACAGTAAATTCAGTTTTTATGACTGGATTGCGTGATTCCATCTGCATTTTCTGCATCGCGGAAATCATAGGGCCCTACATTGTGGCATGATTTGTCATGAAGGAAACACTGTGGGGTGTGTTGGGGTATGATTGAAATGTGAATGGCTCTAATTAAAGTATCAACAAAACTGCTATAGACTGCAGTGCAACTAGAGATGTCAGAATTGGATAAAAAACATTTACAAAATCCCTTATGATTTGATTTTTAGATCTGTTGCTGTTGGTCACCCCAGGCCAATATGATTTGAGCATATGTGCAGCTTTTAATGAGCAAAACCTATTTCAGACCTGTATCTAAAATGTTTAGCTACTGAAGGCTTAAACATGAAAAGAAAGGGAAAGGTTCTCCAACACAAAGTTCACTTCACCAATTTCCCATGCAGTAATTTATGATTAAGACATATTAATCAAGACATACTGAAATATTTTGTCATTTTTGTCCCAGGTCCAGCACATATCTTAAATATTGACTGAATTACCAGCATTTGTGTTCCCATTGTTACTAGGCGACATGCATGTAAACGTGCCAGAATTTACAGATTTTTAACCATGCTATCTTTTAATGGCTTATAATTGTATAAAAAATAGATCATCTATAGATAATTCATAATAGTGACACCCAATGGTGGTTGGTGGTAAGACACAATAGCGACGTCCCCACCAGAATAGAAAAACCAGACAAAAATGAAGCTTTCTAAACTTAACATTTTTTGATAATAAATATGATTTTTTTTTGGATCAAAAATTCCTGACGCCGCCTCTGACTTAAAATTATGGCTTTAGTGTGTGTGTGTGTTTGTGTGTGAGTGTGTGTGTGTGTGTGTGTGTGTGTGTGAGAGTGTTTATACCTGCTCATGGTAAGCTGTGATGAGCCAGAGCTCGATATCGACTCCATTTCCTCGTTTTTCCGCTCCGATGAAGTGAAGGATATTTTCATGTTTCATTCCGCTCAAGCTATAAATCTCATATTCACTCTGCCATGACTGTTTATTCTGAGAGAGATCACAGACAAACACATGCAAAATCAACAACATTCAAAGTCTTTGTAAGTTTGTCCATTTACAAACAATTGTGATGCACATCAATATTTTTTTAAACATGACATTTTGAAGTAGAAAGACTTAAGTTGTATTTTCTTGTAAAACATCCAATAATCTTTGTTTTATTTACAATTCAGGCATTTTTAAGTGTGACTTAAGTGTCCAAGTACATTTTGGCACCACTGTATATACAGTATAGGCGCATCAGTTGATTTCTGTATTCATGTGCCGAGGTGTAAACAGACTGATGAACTATATTACTTGAAGGATAGGTGCTTTGTTATGACTATTGTTATTAATTATTTGTTGAACATTGGGGTGCTTTATCACTGCTGTTGCTGTTGTTTTATAAAAGCAACTAGATTTACATTTCCAGAGTGTTTGCAATGTAAATAGGTGCAAAAGTTGCAATTCAGTATGTAAATATTACAATGACTTTATCGCTGTTGAATGCTGAACATTGCATCACTTTACCAATGTGAATTTTATAAACATTTAAACAACAGTTTACAAAAGCAAAGACTAAAACTACACTGTACATTTTTTTCATTGTATGCATTTTGAACTAAAAGAGATGAAAAATGAAAATGCTCATTAAAAACTACATTATGACTTTTTGATGCAAGAAACCTTGACTAACTTGGACCTCTAGGGAATAAAAAAAACTGTACAAAGGTGTAGATTATGATTCATTCGATCATTTTTGAGCTTGTAGAGTTTTGTAACATTTTAAATTACAGTACAATGAAATGTATTATAAATGTACCACTCAGTTTTGAGTTACATTATGGCAGCAGTATGTATTGGTCTTTTATGCTGAGGCTGAAGAGGCAAAAATGCACAAACAGTAATGAGATGAAACGTGTCAGATACCTGCACAGGGAAGATTTTGACAGCCACGTGTTCGTTGAGCAGCTGAGCTTTCCAGACCAATCCGAAGCGTCCGCGAGCCTTCAGCTCCAGCAGCTGCAGCGGCTTCTGACCCAACAACGGTGACGGAGGTGTCAGACCCGGGTCCTGCAGACAACAAACACAACCCACTGAACACATGATTCACTCACATACATCAACACACACACACAGACACACGCACACACACACACATCAACA